CCCTCATTGTTTGAGCCCTCATTGTTTGAGCCCTCATTGTTTGAGCCTTCATCATCAGAGCCCTCACCATCAGAGTCCTCACCGCCAGAGAACTCACCATGAGAGCCCTCACCATCAGACGCCTCTTCACCCCCAGACTCACAGTGATCAGCGACGTCTGCTGGAGAATCATTGCCACCAACGTCATCACCACCTACAAGGGGCAATAACCATGCAGGAGAGGTTGAAAGGACCCAAAAGAGAAAGATCCTTTCAACCTCTCACGGAATGGCATGCTGACATGCGATTTGTAGTGTTTAGCCACCACCCACCTTCAGCAACATCATCAGCGCCATCAGCCAGAGCACCAGCAGCTTCAGCAGGGCGATCTTCCTAGTTCGCATCACTACAAAGAAACTTATAGATCGCAAGTTGTCGCAAGTGAGCTTTCATTGGAAAGTTGCATACTTTTTGTACAAAAATACACGCAATCACAACGTTCTAATTATACATACTAGTCTCTGGGCTTCTGCTGCGCCTTGCTGGGCTTCTCTCCAAGCAGGCCTTCAAGTCTTGGATGCGAGGGTCCCATGCTTTCTTAGAAGATCTCCACAGGGCGCGCAGAGCACCAAGGCACCTTTTGGCTTTGACACCTTCCCTCCCCGCCATCACCATCCGGCTCTCATCTTGCTGGGGCTTGAAGACCTTCTTATCCAGTAGACGGTCCAAGTAGAGGTAGCAGTCGGTGAGCATGTAGGCTGATGGAACCTGAAGCTTCCCATACGGTTCATTTTACCTAGCACTCAATGCAGTCATGTACATACAGACGTGTGCGTGGGCGTATCATAGGTAGGTAAATGACATAAACTCTCTGCCAAGACTTGGACAAAAGACCGCTTTGGGGAAACTCAAAACCAAAGGTTTGAGCAGGCAATGGTTTTGCGCCAACTCGTCACAGGTAGGCTTGGTTACATCGCTGCTCAGCTGGATGAGCGAAACACCACTCCATGTGCCATTCTCCATCATGTTCAAAACAGCCACCGGAAGGTGCGCTTTCATAGAAGTTGCCACCCGAGCCTGTCACACGGACATGGGATTTCATGATATCTAAATCTTTGCACCTTGTAAAAAACTACGCCGTAACGGCCGTAACGCTTTCCTTGTCACACCAAACACGAAAGAAATGCCAGGTTATAAGGCTAGGTGCTACGTCGGTCTCATTCCAAGATACACGACCAGGGCCTCGGGACGCCCCAGACTTTTGCCATCCCCCAAGAAAGGTAAAAACATATTCAGTCGACATGAACTTGGAACCCAACGGACTGATTTCCACCCTCGCAGGAAATCAACGTACTCGACGTTCTGCTCAACCGCCATGAGAGAGGAAGGAGCTGAGATGGAAGGCAGTACACAGGTGAGCCAACAGTTTCTGTCAAAGAGGGACATGCATGAGTCAGACCATGCATGAACAATGGATTTTTCCACACTTCCACGAAAAACAGTTGCATGAACGCCTCCACTCGTTCCTTCACAGCTGGTTGAATCGGAGAGGGCGCACTCTGGCGGAGCCGGTTTCACCTGCACCGGAGATGAGGGTCATCATGAATGAACAACACGGCATTCAACTAGTCTTTAAAGCAGCAGTATAGGTTTTGCAGTTGAATCACTTCAAGGCCTTCTCTGTTTTTTTGACATGGATTCCATTCACAGTCATTAACACTGACTTGTCGCTTCAGCGCAACCTGCTCGAAGGCGCAGCGCGCCAATCGGTTTCACCTCGAGCGGCGATCGGAGTCACGCTTCAGCTGCCAGGTTTCATGAACCTTTGAAGACAAAACGCCATGACATGAAGTCTCTCCGGGATCACCCCAAATGTGCCTTTGTTTTTACAACCCACGAGCAACTACCTTTCTGAATTACTTCACGCGACCTGAAATTTTTTGGTGCTGGTTTCCACGGAAAGAGATTGGAGTCTTAAGTCTTGAACGCCTAAAGGGAATAACAACATCTAAAGGTAGGTTGGAGCGCTGACGCTAGCAAAGCACGCGTTGTTGACTGCTGCAGATCGGGGTGCGCCTCCGGTCTTTGCAAGCAAGGCTTGCGCGTCCCCCATGGCAGACAACCGCTTGAAAAAACAGAGCAGGAAAACCCTATACCCTGCAAATCTCACGCTCGCTAGAGGTGGGCCTGGCTAATTGGAACTCACTGTTCACTAGTTGGCTTTGGGTCGCTCCATGCATTGCTAGTTGTAAGACCCCTGTGCGGAAGGCTGCACCCCCTTTCGAGCAGCAGTGGGAGCGCGAAGCCGCTCGACCCGCGACCGAAGGCCGAAAAAAAAAAGAAGTCTCTCTTGGAAAAAACGGCAGGGGCCCATGGGCCACTCAGAATTCGACCCGAACTCAAAAACATCTAGAAAACACACGCGAGCACACGCACACGCACGCGCACATGAAAAAAGTTTTTCCAACGGAAGTGTACCCAGGGAATTTCAATAAGGTTGTTTCATTAGCCCTTTACTGTGAAAGTCTCTTCCCTACACTTGGCTGGAAATTTAGAGTCAGGACAGGCTCTCTCCACAAGCATACGGGCCATGCTTCACATATAGCCTTGCTGGGCAGCATACGCGCAGGGGATAGCTATACAAACGGCATGTTTGGTACAAACGGCAAGGTGGACTTGCCGTGGGGAGAAACGATGTCCAAAGCACACCGTTGGAGCGTCCAGGCGATTCTGGACTTGATCCAGCGGTTGTAGAGGTCCTGGGGAGGCTCGTCCAGGATCAGCTGGAGGGACACCCTCTTGCCCTTGCCTATCTGCACAAAGCGGCTGGAGGCCCGCTTGGATTTCCAGAAGCCCTTGCAGCGCTTGCACACATAGCCGCCCCGGGTAACGCCAGATGTTGTACAACTCCTTCAGGGTGTACTCATAGCCCAGTGCCCCCAGTAGAAGCCGGCAGGGTCCATGTGGAGACGTCCCGGCGCCAGTGCCAGTCCGCTCCATCATCACCAGGGGCCCAGAAGAGGCCCACCACCGATGCAATGGCCGGCCGCTCCTGGCGCGCAATGTGGCCCTCAATCCTGCGAGGTGTACACCACCAGGTCGCCCCAGCGGACGTTCAGGTTGTAGGGGTGTGTGCGACGCTCCAAGGCCCAGACCGCCTCCGCGTCGACCTTCTTGGAAGCCCATTCCGGAACAACCATTGGGCCCGGCGCCGTCGTCCATTGCCCACCATAGGCACGGACCTCGCCCTTGTGGTAGCCCAGCATGGCATGGATCATGGCCAACTTGGAGCCCGAGGCAGCTGAACCCCCCATATCAGGGCCTGAGGCACCTGTGGGGGTTTCGTCCTGGTACTCCATGAACTGCATGTTGAGGGGGCAGTCCACAATCTCCTCCAAGAGCCGCGGCTGGTAGGGGCTGGTACCCTGCTTGATGAGCTCCCTGGTGCGCAGGTAGGCCTCTCACGTCCTGGAACTGGTCGCCAGACCACTCTCCAGGGCCTTCCGGACCTTCTCCGGCCACACGCTGATGGTGTCATAGGTGGGGAGGAGGAGCTCCAGCTTGCGCTTCTGCTTCCGCTCCAATGTGGTTTGGGATGCGAGGAGGGCGTCCTGAGGCTGCCCCTTCTCATCCTGCCACTTGCGCTTGAGGAAGGAGCGGAACTTCTCAACGTCCAGGCGCCTGAGAACCGCTGCTCCATGCGCCTCCGCATCCGGCACCGTGTCAAACCCCGAAGCTCATAGACCACGTCCATCTGGGGGTCCACCCTGGCCTCCTTTTTCTCACGGCGTTCCGCCTGCCCAAGCTCCGAGACCAGTCGCATCGCCTTCACGTTGGTGGGGTGGAAAGTGACGGTCTCCTGGCCCGGGTCGTGGTCCATCACCCTGGGGCTTCTTGGAGACCTCCTTGTGGAAGACCTCATCGTCCCTCTCTTCAAGACCTCCTGGCGGAGGGTCATGCGGCTTGAGTCGCTCACCAATTCACTGAAGGTGACCTCACTCGGGGTGGCCCCCACCATGGGAGGCTTCTGACCAAGGCTGCTAACCTCCACCGAGCAAAGGGACTTCTGGGTGTCCCCCAAATCGGGGGCATCTGACTGCCAACAGAGCTGCTTGTCCGCGTCAAAGGTCATGGTCCAAGTGACGCCATCCACAGTCACCGAGGCTGAGGGCAGAGCCGTCGGAACCTTCCCCTCCATAGAGCCACAGTGGAGGCACTTCTTGGCGGCCGGCAAGATCCAGCTCGTGAAGCAGCTGGCGCACATGTAGGGCAGCTTGTCCTCCACCTCCGGGAGGGTCGTCAGCTTCTCCATGGAGCGTGCCCCTTTGGGCAAGTGCTTGGCCTCCCAAATCTCCTGCACCAAGTGCTTGGCCTTGGCGATGGCATAGACCTCAACAATGCGAGCAAAGGCCGGCGGGGTGAGCTTGGTCACGTCGAACTTGAGGCAAAGCTCAACGATCTCCCCCACCTGGATGCTCCGCAGCGGCTGCGGCAGTTTCTTCGGGAGGCAGGGAAGGCCAGCCATGACATTGGTCAGAAGGATGTTCCCGTCCTGGGCGAAGGAGTAGGTCACAGGATCCTGCAAGCGCTGCTCCATCGGTACCTCAGTGTCCACGCTCGTCCGCAAAGTCGAGGAAGGCACCGGCGGCAGCTGCTTGCCCAGCAGCGACAAAGCCCCTGAGGCCGGTACAGGGGAGGATGACACATCCTGTTGAGTCTCGGTGTCAGGGCGTGAAGCACCTGCCGAGTCTCTCGAATGGTCACCCCCCTCCAAGGCACCAGTTTCAGAGGGATTCGCTGACGGAATCCCAGTATCAGGGCCAGGGGCACCTGCCGGGACTCCCGCGTCGTCCGCCTGATCCAAGGGGCGTTTGCGGCTGCTTGGCACCGCCTTTGGATCCTCAGCCATGGAAGATGCCGTAGGAGGAGGAGCCAAGGTAGGGCTCGCAAGTCCAGCAGAGGCCTCCGCACAGGCCTGCAAGGAGAGAGAGGTGATGCCACTCACCATCGCCTCCAAGTCCCGCTCCAGGTCAGCGGGGGTCGTGTCCGCGGGGATCACGTAGTCGGCCAAAATGGCCATCTCATCTTGATCAGCGGCAATCTGGGCAGTCTCAGCGGCTGCCACCTCCTGCTCCATGGGATCCTCTCCCAGGATCACAAAATCCTCCGCAGAGTCCAAAAGCTCGAAGTCGAAAAGTTCAGCCATGGCGGCGAAAGTCAGAAAAGAGCGAAAAAGCGAAAGTCGCAAAAGTTCGCAAAAGTTCGATCTTTGATGGATCAGGGGCTGATCCTTGAGCCAAAATGGAAGGCCATTTTGGCTAATGAAATGTATTGTGGACACATTGTTTGCAATCCGCAAACTCCTTGCAAAACCAAAACTAATAAGGCACTTGCTCCTAGTAGCGATGCACTTGTTCCTAGTAG